GTCTGTGAAAAGCGGGCGGGCCGTCATTTTCATCTCAAAGGTCATCTTTGATACAAAAGAACGTGCAGCACTAAGCAAAGGTCAGGGTGCACGGAATGTTGCTGCTCAAATTATGGACGCCTTTAAGAGCTCGCAGACGGGGCGAAGCTTTGCGTTTTATTCATAAAAATATGAACTGTTTAAATCTCTTTTGTTATCAATACAACCATGATTTGTTGTATTTTCATTCGTCAAATATAGAATTTACCTGGATAAATAAACCCATTTCCGCATGAAATCGACGGACCTTTAATTAACGACGGATATTTAATTATATCATTAACGGTTAATAAGGAAGCGGTTACATGAATTAGCATTTTTATAGCAGAATACTTTTATTGTATTGACGTCAGTTTATAACGACATTTTCACCTAACGCTACGCGTGGTGGGAAATTTTATGTTTTGCAGTATATTTTAACAATATACAAGACTAGCGTCTGAACCCGGCTTCGTCCATTTGTAGGCACTTCAGTTTTCTGAGTCAATTTCTAAAGTAAATGTAATGAATTTCACATCTATTTTGTTAGATAACATATCTATTATAAATGGCACTCTACTCAATTTAATGTCGGATTGATTAAATCGAATAACGCCATTGAACTGATTACGACTTCCATAAGGTTTATAATTTGAGTTCGATAAGTAAAAAAAATAGTATACTAAGTCTTCCGATCGAAACCTAATACATTAACTCTGAAAGACGAAGCCGATATTCGCTTAAAGCTTCAAGGCCCTCGTTAAAGGGCCATTACATAGATATAGGCCGGATTAATATGCCCTCCACGATTTATTCCCGCCATTGTTTTTGTTTATTCAACGTCGCACCAGATAACGGACGCTGATTAATGTTAATTAGCCAATTATCTGCGACAATATTGGTCACGTTCACGTATTCCACGCGCGTTGAAGGACATAACTTTCTCAGTAATAGGTATGCCTCGGTACGAGTGTACGACGCGAGCCTTGCGAGAGAGACATTGTTTTTTTTTATTTATAGCCGTGCGGGAATCGAACCCACGACCCCCGACGCCGAAGCCAATACCTTGGCAACTGCGCCACGGAGTCATTAGATTTGTAAACAATAAAAGCCTTAACAGCGACTTTCCTGCGACGTTCCCTTTGAAATGTTTTTCAGGCAAACTACGTTATATATGAAATCAGAAGAAGGAAAAAAGTTCAAAACCGCGCAAAAACATGTGGCGCGTAAAGTGAACAAACTCACAAACTTTTGTGTTTGTAAATATCAATTAAAATAAATGCCACTACTTTATAAACAAAGGCCTTTTTGTTCAAAAGTTGACAAAGCAATATAAACATGTAATAAGCCAAAGTGAAAATTACCTATGTCAAGAATACTAAGAATAAACATAAAAGTTATTACAATTACTGGCAAAGTTTTAATGAAATTATATAAATCTTTCTTAAGAAATCCCAAGGCATAATATTACTTTCATTCATAAATAAAAAAGGTAATTTAATCATTTCTTCTTCGATTCCCATTTAGAAATTTCTAACAATTTAAAATAACATTTACATAATTATGTATATAACATATCACGCTTAAATAATACTTGCATAAAAAATAATGCTTTAATTTTGAATCTAAGACTATCTACATGACCGTAGCTAGAGAGCCCTAGATTTAAATGTACAAGACGTTCGAACTTATAGTCGCCAAAAGTAATTAAATGGTTTGTTGTGCCATATAATTGCTTTTGGTATGTACATGCTAAATTAAAACAGACTCCGATGTGGTCGAACAGCGACAAAGCCCTTTAATTAAATAAAAACAGACTTCAGAAGCTAGGTATGTTTATGGGAACGGCAAATAAAAAAACAAAAACCGTGAAATTTGCCAATCCGAATTGTGGCCTATACCCTTATTCCCTCTGTACAGAGCTTTTGCCCAGCAGTGGGAATGTATGGGATGTTACTTTACTTTATAACAGTGATAATCAATACCCTGTGTTACTTCAATAATAAGTTGTAAAAAATGTTCTCCGCGTGTACCTAACGTTTAGTTGTTCAATAAAGCGGCTTGCCTTAGCCCATATTATCAGAGGTCATTTAGACGATGGCTATATTACATACTGGGTCACTCCATGGGTCACTCCATTACCATAAGTAGTAAGAAATACGACACAATTAAGCTAATGTGTAAAATCCACAAAATAAAATTAAATAATAATAACTTTTTTTTATGTGAGAAGTTGCCAAACGAGCAGACGGTTCACCTGATGTTGAGTGAATACCGCCGCCCATGGACATCTGTTACACCCTAGGGTTCCAGATGTGTTGACAACCTTTTGAAAATTGGGCAATAATTAGATTTTTTTTGTAAGAAGTGGTAAACGAGCTGATGTAAACCATCCTGATATGATAGTCGCCCATGGACATTCAGCACTCGTAGGGTTACAGATGCCTTGCCATGATTTTATAAAGTTACCCCGATTACCTGACTCACCAGACGAAATGTACAAGTAATTAGTACAACACATCCACTTCACGCATCTTTTATGAAGTCGTGTTACTTCGCCAGATGGACCAGCCCATTCGTCCAACAGTGATAACTGTTGCGTGGCCCCACCTCATTAGAAATTTGGGATTGATATAATAAAATATTAACTAAAGTTTAAAGAAACTTGAACGATTTTCGTTATCATCGTTCGTTAGCACCCAACCAGTAGCCCGATTACTCCTCCATACTCAGCAGGAGACGAGCCCGTTCTGTAGAGCTTCCACAATTTTTGTTCCTTTCTAGGCTAAATACATTGTACTCTAGTAACACCACTTCCCTTAATTTCTCAGATAAAGAAGTAAAATAAAAAACACGTCTACTTCACACTCGATGGTTAGTCCTGATAATATTCCCACAAAAAAAACTACAAAGCTCTATTAAAATCATATAATAATCTCAAAATAACCGATTTAAGGCCGCAGATTAACTGCGTGACGAAATGCAGTCCACGTACACGAGATTAAAACTAAAAGCGCACTCGAAACGACCATCGTGCATTATTCAATTCAAATTCGCGCCGGGGACACATAGTAATTTCCGCTATAAGGCACTTTAAACCGGGAACGGGGTGGCAAAGTGAAAAGTGTCCCAGATTTGTGCGGGCGAGCTCCCGCGGCACAGTTCGCTTCTTCCTTAACGCGGCATTCCGTGGAGAACTTTTAAATTTATCCTCCTAAGAAAATCTGGAGCACGGTTCACTAGATTTGAGACAATCACTTCCACCACGGACACACATCAATGAAAAGCTGCAATTTTTTTGCTTCAATTTTTTTTTTCGGTCTAAAGACATAAATCTCCGCTTATAGTGATATCACGTTATAGAAAAATGTTAATTTATTTGAAAAATAAATTGTTAATGTACAGATAATGGAGAATACTTCTCAATTCTCCACAATGCGTTTTTGTTATTTCTCACAGTACAATACATTCAAATAGAAGGCGTTAGAAACAATTTCTTGCAAAGCTGTTGCCTTTTATAACGGGAAGATTTCAAATTACGAAGTAATCGGCTCATTCACCTATAATACACATATTTCTTAGGCGAGACAGGTGCAGCTTCCCTCGATATCCCAACGAAACGATCAAATGAAAATGCCTACAATTATTATATATATATATATAAACAATACAACAATTCCTAATAAAACGACAAACCAGCAAATTCTTGTGACTTCGGATACTTTAACACATATTATATTAGTTTGTATACATTACACAAATGTTTTTGCACTGCAAATTTTATATTTTCTCAAATCACTCTGCGACTTAATCCAACGTAATGAGTTGGCAGCGTTCATCCCACGCCGTGCAATCAATTAAAATTAATCATCAGCTCACAGAACGTTTAACTTTAAACTTTCACCGTTTATGGCAATTTACAGTGTCTGTGGTCAGACGAAAAACTGAGGTACTCTAAGTTCTAATGTCAAAGTCAACCCGAGCTACCATTAGCATAGTTAAGCAATATACAAATCTTTAAATTCGTGTGTCTCGATGATTAAATACATTTCTTTATACTCCGGTTGATAATTAAGTTTTTCCTATAAGTACTTTTGAGGAAACCGGGGCTCACATTTTCAATTTTGTCAACGCAATGCAACCCGCCAAGTGACGTAGATTTCCATGGGCAAGTTTAATCACTTAACATTCTGCATAACCGCCTGCTCGCTTGCTAAGTATTAACATAAAAGAAATGAGACTATAATCGCGATATGCGAGAATAATGTGTACAACAGGCAATTGTTCTTTATAAAGGTGATTATAAACCGTTTCTAGATGTTCGCTCACGTGTACACCCACCCTTATACCGGACAAAGCAATATCGGGCAGCCCGCATTGGTACAGTGCAGCATGCAGTTTCACTAGTGTACACTCTTTGTTTACGGGCCTATGTCATACGATTGCGGTTCCATTGTCGCATGTTTCTAAAGTTCCTGAAAAGAAAATGCATCTTATACTATACGTATTGTATACGTTCTGATTTTTCTATTGATCCCATTTCCCATTGAAAGATTGTTGATAAACGAACGCGCTAGGATTGGCTTGCTTGTTTAACAACAATACGTATAGAATAAACTGCTTTGCACACTTAATTCAAAGTGGGCATCTAATGTGCCACTATAGGACTTCAGGGTGGTTAAAAAGCAACTCATAAACGATATAAAAATGTTGAAAAAAAAAGTATTACTGCCGTACATTACATGTGTAGTTTTTATGGAAGAGGCGACAAACGAACTACAGCCAAACAACGTTTTAAACACAGCACTCGCTAAAGCGGTCTTTTAGATAGGGTTCTCCCTCACCATCTCAAAGCCATAACTTAACTTTAACTTTTTACGGTAACTTTCGGTTCAAACAATTATGTAATCGTTTGAACCGAAAGTAACCGATAAAATAAAGGGAATCGAATATAAAAAGGAAAGCGAAAATGAACATCGTCAATGCATGTCCGAGGAACAACGGAGAGCCATTATCCACGAGTCGTCAACGACAAAAAACACCCCCCCAGCCTTCGCTCCAGCGTAAAGTCATTGTTCCCGCAATCGGATTGGGTCGTAAGCGCGACCTTTGCGAGACAGAACGCGGAGCGACGTGACGAAGTGTCCTACGGGGTCTCGGCTGCTTATCCAATTACACTCTCCCCCGCGTTCCTTCGAACTTCCGTCGCATTAAAGCTCAGGTTAAACCGCTATTTGACTTGAAGCCACCATTAGTATTTAGGAATGTAGTTAGTGTGACGTAGGCAAATAATAAACGAACAAATCGCTAGGCACGTCCTAGTTATAACCAACAAACAATGGTGTTATTTAAAAACCGGTGTTTATTTTTTTTTTTCACTCGATTCCACTGACCTTCTATTATTTCATATTTGTATTCAAATCCAGAAGCCGGCACCAATGGAATCGGAAGTTTTATTGTTCTAGATGATTTATAAAAGTGTTTGGGCGTGGAGTAGAAATATAAATAAATTATAATATATACCTAAACATATTTATTCGCGTAACGCATACATTATACATGTTTTGTGTACATTTTGTAAATATCTATAAAGAGAATGACGATCTCGATCTTGTTTCTTCTCATCTTCTCTAAATCAAATAACTCTTAGACTTCTACGAATCCGCTAATTTAAACAAAACCAACATACAACACTTCAATTTCAAGTCCGAAAAGAAAAGTTTTTCATCTCAGCGAATAAGTAATGTTGGGATTCAATGGTGTTCATATTAATGGAAATCTGATAACGTGATACGTATAAGGCTGAGGGTCGGACGTAAAAATATTTTTAAAAGCGTTCATTTTTATATTAAAGCGTTTCCATGTACGAAAAAAATGACAAATTATATTCATAATAATGGCTTACTCGAAACCGCAAATCGTATTGGATAATTATAACATGGCTGACGTTTTTAATTTTCGTATTTATAGTGAGCAAATAATTCATGTGAGTCGGAATTTACGATGGCTCAGTAACTTATGTGTTCAGAGATTACTTAGATTTGGTTAGCAAAACAACAACAGAGTTTATAAATTAATAGCTTATAGTTTGATTAGAATGGCAAGTGTCAAAGTAAAAAAAATCTAGCTGTAGTTTTAAAGGTTAACTTTTGATTAATATCCTGATTTAGAAGATAAGCGTTGTAGTTAAAAATATATAAACAGGCCTCAGGCATCATCATTTCAGCCTGTTTGAGCCCATTGCTGAACATAGGCGTCCCCAACAGACTGATCTTGAGCCACTTGCATCCATCGATTTCCCGCACATTCGCAAAGGCCGTCACTCCATCTAGTGGGGGGTCGTACGCGACTGCGATGTCCAGTACGAGGCTGCTCCTCAGGAATGACACTGCTTACGATTACTGATTCTACAAATAAGTAGTAAAAGTAGGAAAATTCTGATTACAAATACAGAAAACCGGTGATGCAATGGGATAATTCCTAGGTATACTCGTATAAAATGATCTTTAATAGAAGTGCCTTGTGGCAAATGTGATCAAAAGCTTTAATTGACGAGAGAACAGGTTAACAAGTTTATTCATTTATTTACGCGAATTTATTCTTGTATTTACGCAAATGCTACATCCTTACTAATATTATAAGGCGAAGTTTGTATGTATAGATGGATGTTTGTTACTCTTTCACGCAAATACTACTGAATGGATTTTAATGAAAATTTTAGAATAATATATATCTTATGCATAAGAATAAGACATAGGCTATAATTTATGTACATATTTTATGTATATCTGTGTTTCTGTCTGAATGTTACGCCTTCAGCCTATTTTACGCAGACGTCGTCGCGGGCAGCAGCTAGTATATAATAAAACTGTTTCCTCTTTTTTAGGGTTCCGTACCCAAATACTAAAACAAAACCTATAACTACTTCACTGTTTGTTTGTCTGTCAGTCTGTCACCAAGCTTTATCTCGTGACACACGTAACAGTGATAGTTAGAGAGTTAAAATTTTCACAGATAATGTATTTCTGTTGTCGCTATAACCACAAATACTATAAACAGAATAAAAAACCTTTAAGGGGCTCCCATACAATAGACATGATTTTTTTTGCTGTTATATATGCTTATAGATAATGGTACAAAACACGACCGTTTTTTTGCGTTTTATTTTTCTTTTTAATTCCTAACGTTCCGAACAATTTACAGCGTTGATGGTCACGAGACAGGTTGATTTATTGAACGTCCTAATATTTGAGTTAACCGGGGCTACCTTGAATATGTTGATGATTTCGATTTTCCAATCTACGAGCGACAGAAGAGATTAGAGCGCCGAGATGCATTGCTGGTGTGTTTGGATTTAATTTTACAAATTAGATGATCCAAATACGATGATAACCTCCTATCGTCTCCTCTATCGAAACTAGGACGTTTCTTTCTTTACTTCAATAGCTTTGCGGTAGAAAACAAGTGGTATGGGCAGAGTACATGTTGGGTAAACGCGATCCACAGCGTCTATATTTTTTTAATAATCACGTCTCCGTGATCCCTTAAAGCTGCCTAGTTTTAAAATTGCCAAAACCAACAATCGTTTACATATTTGCACGTAATATTTATGTACTATATTACCGCTCCTCGAACCCTTGTCGGACGTTTTCTGGGCAGGTCATTATTTGTGAACCAGTATTTTGATTCTGACATTAACATGATTGTTTGGAAAGAGCTAAATTTGTTAAAACACTTTGCCTATTCGGAGATTTTATACTATAAGTAATCACCAATGAAACCTGTAATCTGTAAATCGGTCGAGCCCTTTCGGAGGAGTTCAATTACAAACACCGTGTCACGAGAATTTTACATATTAGATGTATTTATTTGCAAAAGAAAGGTATGTTTAAGTATGCTTAACAGTTATCTAGTACCCATAATAGAAGCTTTGCTTATTTCGCAACTAGATAATCGCTGTGTATAATCATGTTCGAAAATATCTACCTACGTACATTTATTTATCTATAATCTATTCGATTAAGCTCTCTTTATTGTATATGTATTCAGTTTGGTAGTACGAACAGACGTTAAATTATTCGTACATTTTAATATGGAGGTTATAAAGTCCAGACATCATTAATAACTTAATTAAGCCTCTCAACAAAAACTGAAGAAAATGCAGGGAGCAAGATGAAAGGCGATTTGAGATAAGTTACGACATGTCAAATAAATTAACAGGCGGGATTACGAAGCGGCCTATTCCATTCGACTTTGGTCAAACTCAATTTACAGCATAAAACAATGGCAACAGTCCCTCTGCATTGGAATAAAAACAAATCCCTTTGGAACGGTCTTGACGAAATTTCTCGACCGGAGAGCGCTAAAATGACCGAGGTGAGCTTTCATTCCGGCGTCCATCACTGTATTCCCGGAATTCACCCAAGGGGGCCCGGGCTTCCCAATGTAAACATCCAGGGCGCGCGATAAATATGTATGGGCGTCGCAGATTATGCCGGGAACAACCGACCGCCTCGTTCCGGACGTCGGGAGACATTGTTATTAGGAAATCTTTGACTCCGTATTGTTAAATGGGAGCTGTCGTCACCATTGTCTCGGCGTGCGATAAACGAAAATGCTCTCAGCGCGCGTGCTTATAAGGACGATTTTAATTTGGCTAATGGGACTATGGAACGAGGTTAAGACGTCGGAGTGTTCCTCGCCGAGTAATGAACTGCACCTATTAATGGCAGTCATAACGATAACACCGCGCTCAGAAAATTCATCATGCCACATTTCATCATAAAAGGTATTAGATTAAATTATATATTTATGGGTATATAGTTGTTTACAAAACTGAGTGTATTGATAGAGACGAATTCTGGCATATTATTAAAAAGCAGCTTAACAAAACAAAGAAAGAGATAGTATTAAAATAATGGCATCAGTCTTACAAAAATAAATTTTGACTTAGTTTGTGTACAAAATATTTTGTAGTAAAATATGTAAACCAACTTTGACACGATATCAAAATACATGACAAAATGACAAGGAAGAAATGCATTTCCTGGTTTTCGCTTTCATCTTTAGCCCGTAAACAGACAGAACTGCCTTCTGTTCGTGCGTAAGTCTACCGAATGCATTTTTGATGTTACGAGAAATTAAAAATTCGGAACGAATTTACGTAAACTGTTACACCAAACACAAATACCCACTACCATGTGTGGGTGTGTGTATTTGTACAATTAGTGGGTATTTGTACAATGGAGTTTTTAAGTATGTTAACAAACTTAACTTATAACGCAATTATAAGTAAATACTGCAGTTAGAGGTCATTAAACTCTAATAGAAGCAGGATTTTATTTCCACTATATCAGACGAAAAGGGCGACGCGGACTTCGACTGTTGCACGAATGGACAGGGTAAATAAAGCCGGCGAGAAGTGTAAGTATTATATTTTGCGTTTCGTCTAGTGAGTAAAGCAACCGTGGCCCAGCTTTTTAAACGTTGGCTACGCTAGGGAACGTCACATGCCGTTGCCTAGCATAGCAGATATTCATCGACGAAGGTAATAACTTAACATCAGGTGAACGCCTGCTCCCTTGCTAACTTTATACATTATATAATTATGTGGATATTAATTCATAAATTAATTATCAAAGCGTCAATCATGTTTGATGGAACATTAAATGGTTTATATCACTTCCACTTCACGCCGGTCATCTTCGAGGCCTGTCAGTGAAGGCCTTGTCGTTATTATGGGCCGTCTCGCGATGCGAGGAGTGTGGGTGCAGTTCCCAATGGCATAAGACAATATTCTCAAGCATCAAATGAACTAAAATATGTTATTATCAGCAAGCTTGTTGGCGGACCTAAAAGGTGTGTATGAGTTGGAACAAGTCCAACAAACAAGTCAAAATCTAATAAGAAATAATCATACGAATAAATTAACTCATCTCAATTTACCATAAACTATGAGCTTTAATAAAAACAAAAAGAATATAATTTAGTTTCATAATATTACATATGTGATCTATAGATAAATTTCACATAAAAGAAATTGCTTATAACTAAGTGTGTAAACTCCAGCATGCATTCGCATATGAGAGCTTCATAAATAAGCTTTCCAAGCATAACAGACGTGCAAAGAATTATAACCCAAATTAATCCTGAAATGGCAAATGCAAAATGTAAATTTCCAGGCTTCTTTTTTATTCCATTTATATATTTCGGTTTTCTAAAGATGAATTCAACAACTGCT